CCAGGATGGCGGCTGAATTAGGTACCAATTTTTTCATCATGGATGTCATTTTCATGGTTTTCGAGGGTGTTGAATCCGATAGTGCTGTCGAAAAGTAAATCCAAGATGGCGGCTGCAACAGATATCAAGTTTTTCATCATGGGTGTCATTTTCATGGTTTTTGAGGGTGTTGAAGCCGATAGTGCTGTCGAAAAGTAAATCCAAGATGGCGGCTGCAATAGATATCAATTTTTCATCTTGGGTGTCATTTTCATGGTTTTCGCAGGTGTTGAAGCCGATAGTGCTGTTGAAATATAAATCCAAGGTGGCAGCTGCAATCGGTGTCAATTTTTTCATCATAGGTGTCATTTTCATGGTTTTCGAGGGTGTTGAAGCCGATAGTGCTGTCAAAATTAAAATCCAGGATGGCGGCTGAATTAGGTACCAATTTTTTCATCATGGATGTCATTTTCATGGTTTTCGAGGGTGTTGAATCCGATAGTGCTGTCGAAATGTAAATCCAAGATGGCGGCTGAAGTAGGTACCAATGTTTTCATTATAGGTGTCATTTTCATGGTTTTCGAGTGTGTTGAAACCGATAGTGCTGTCGAAAAGTAAATCCAAGATGGCGGCTGCAATAGATATCAATTTTTCATCTTGGGTGTCATTTTCATGGTTTTCGCAGGTGTTGAAGCCGATAGTGCTGTTGAAATATAAATCCAAGATGGCGGCTGCAATAGATATCAATTTTTTCATCATGGGTGTCATTCTCATGCTTTTCGCAGGTGGTGAAGCCGATAGTGCTGTCGAAATGTAAATCCAAGGTGGCAGCTGCAATCGGTGTCAATTTTTTCATCATAGGTGTCATTTTCATGGGTTTCGAGGGTGTTGAAGCCGATAGTGCTGTCGAAATGTATTCAATTTACTTTAAAAAATTGCGTATAATCATGTTATACGTAATTTTTTTAATGCGCTTAAGGCATGCCCAATTGGATTTACCAATTTTTGAACTTTTCTAGTACCGAAAGTAGGTCTCCCTCGGGTATAGAGAACCGGAGACACATTTTAACGGCGATAACGCATCTACATTTTGATTTTTAATCGAGGATGTAATGTCTGTGCGCCACAGCATTCATTTACCATCAGAACTGTGGGATATTTGCTCGTTTTACATCCTTATTCTATAAAAAAATGGAATATGCAGCGACTTTAATATAAATTATTAACTCAAAAACTATTGGTCTGACCTCGGTCAAATTCATTTGGGACCACATGTGAAGTACCAGCTTTCAAATAAAAAAATCATCGAAATCGATTCATCCAGTAGAAAGTTATGAGGTAACACACATAAAAAAAAATACAGTCGAATTGAGTACCGTCTCCTTTTTGAAGTCGGCAGAAAATACGGTTGACAACCTGCCTGCCAAGAGTGGCAGTCATTACAAATATCCCCCTTAAGGTAATGTATTCCAGTGGATTTTAGATGGCTCCATGCTCAAATGCAGTCTAACATTATTATATATATGCAGTCTAACATTATATATTTACATAGACAGCCGTATTGCAAAAAATGTGATATATTAATTCCTAACGGGAAATTGATTTAGGCAATTACTACCAGTTCCCAAAGACGATAAAGAAAAATATCAAAATCCCATGGCTACGGTCCACATACTAGATGACATGCGATGAACATATAACTTGGTAAGCCGTGTTATATTATTCAAAAACGAATCCACACATTGTAAACTACCTAAGTTATAATATTCATAACATTAGACAATGAGTAGAAAGAATAATTTAAAATTACAAACTTTGTACAACCGACACCAATATAAATTATTAAGAATAACTCAAACACTATTAGTCAGACCTTGATCAAATTTATATAAAACCACACGAAAAGCACCAGCTTTCAAATGAAAGAAGAATCATCGAAATCGGTTCACCCAGAAAAAAGTTATGAGGTAACACACATAAACAATATACAGTCGAATTGAGTACCTCATCTTTTTTGGAAAAACTAAGAAATAAAATACGCAAAACTCTGTTAAAAAAATTAAGAAAATGTTTAAGCGTTTAATATACTTTTCCGTATTTTATGTAGATTTCATATGATTCTTATTTTCTACGTCAAATTTCAACTGCTTTTAAAATAGTTTGTTATTTAATAACAACATTTATAACAACGGGTATAAGGCATGAAATATTTATATAACACACATGAATACTTTATCGTAATGATCATCATCGTTCAAGCCAATCACAAGTCTACTATTGAACATAGGCCTGCATCTCTTACTCGTACCAGATCGTCACTGAATACTTGATCGAATGAATAAAAATACATTATTCATAAGAAGTAAATGGGGACGATTATCTCCATGAAACACGAGAAAATTCTAGTGTGGAACATTCTTTTAAATAAAAGGTAGAAGGAATAAAATATTCTCAAAGTATTTTTTGAGTAATAACAGATGTATGTATATTAATGAATACAAAAAAAAAACTCACTAAAGTATTCTAACCAAGTACGGCTGACACAGTTAATTATTGTTTTTCTTAAAATCAACAAATTGATTCTAGCTCATTTTTTTTTCTTTAAAAAACATTATCTTTCTAAACGTTCGTCTTCTCAGATCTGCGATACGCAACGCTTACTAAAGGAGGTAGAAAGTGAAACTAGGTAAAAGTTTTTGTTTGTTGAGTTGACTATGAACCCCCCTTTAACAAATGTCAAGAATAAACGACAGAAACCTAGAATCGTGAGAAATCTATCACAAAATATATTTAAGCTTTATTAAAGCAGTTATAGGAAGATGTTGATTATATGTTTTATACGTGGTAGAGCTATTATAGTTGTGTCTCGAATTAATCGACTCGACGCTCTAACAGAAACCCAGCATAAAATGACAGCTTTATGCTGTTTTATTTTTCTTGTGAGTATAAAGAACCGGCGCCCCTTTTTAACGTAACCCTTGTAAACGAGTTTTCAGTTTTAGTTCAAAGTTTAAATGCCAAACTCATACCCGCATTGTGGATTACGGACGCACCAACTAAAACCTCATGGTTTTCAACCTTTATCTCATCTTCAATCATAATGCACATTATTTTGAGGATAGATGTAGATATTTATGTGCTAGTTTATCTTCCATATTCAATAAAAAAAAATTTTGGTCATGCTTGTGATTATTACACAGCCCCACAAAAAAAAATTAAATTATTTTCTCCGATATCTGAGGAGGTGCACTTTATGTTTTTGGGGTTGCTGAATCCGAATCCGGGGTCCGTTTAACCCCATCACGTCAGGGTTAAGGGCATCTGAAGGTCTAAATCTGAATCCGGGGTTCTCTTGACTTTGAAGTGTCAGAATCAAGGTCAACTGAAGGTCAAAACCATCAGTCGTTTGCGAATCAAAATGCAGATGCGTTGTCACCCGTGAGGACTAAGTGGAATGCATCTTGTCCAGTAAAAAGGGTCTCCGGTCCTCTACACTCACCATACGAAAAACAGCAATGTTCAGCTGCTATTTTACGCTGGTATTCTGTGAGAGCGTGGTCCTTTCCCGGTCAAGCCGACCCATTCGTGCTACAACTAATTACTAATATAACTGCAACATTACTCTACCACGTATAAACAATAGGCCTCGACAATATTGGGGTGATTTTGCTATGTTTGAAGCTATACTTCTTTTGGGGCGTTTGGGAAAATGATAAGAGTGAATTTTTAAGCTCCGCGCGCACACCGACACCTAAAAACGACACCGTGAAGTTGTTACGATACGCGCGCACACTGACACCTAAAGGCGACAACTTCAGTATGTAATTGTCTCTCAAGTTTTTTTGTTTTGTTACGCCAAAGAAGTATAACTTCCTACGTGCGTACATATAAGTACACACACACTGTTTTTATTATTTTAGACTTGTTACCAGAAAAATGCTGCAGATATAGTCTGGTGGACATTCTTACACTACCACTACACGGTGCCTTTCCAGTAACATAATATATAATAAACTGTTTACTAATATCGACTTCTTTAACACGTCTCGTAATATCTTTCAAAATAAATTACCTTTGATAAAAGTTAAGTTTGCGAGTAAGTTGCGTTTATGGATATTCTGTCGTTTTCTCCTGATAATGCTACTGAAATTTGTCACCATATAACTTTCTTTTAATTTTTACAATTTATTGGCACTGCGGTTTCTTCTTAAAGGATAAATTGTGTGATGTTTTTTTTTTTTTAATGAGGCAAACGAGCATACTATCCACCTGATTAGCAATGCCAAAATAAGTTAAAATGAAAGACATTTTACTAATTATATTAAAATTGCTTGTTGAAAAATACTTTTATCAAATATTATCATTTTTAAAAACTGTACATATTATTATAATTTTAAATGTGTAAACTATACGCAATTTAAATTAGTAATTTAATCATGTTAACTTTCATATATCATGTCGCTATTACGAATCATACCATTTAAAAAATTAATTTCTTTTATATATTACTTAAAATTCAAAAATTGTTAATAGAAATAATAAAAATGTGGAAGCTGTTAATGCATAGATTATGGAATTGGCAACTATACGTAATTATTTATTAATTAACAATCATGAATATATAATTAAGTTTTTAAATATATTATATAAATGAAAGTACGTAAAAATTTATATTAAAAATATTTACGTATATGTTAAAATTAAAATTTAAAATTAATATTGATTTCTTATAGGTACATATGTGAATAGAAATAATTGAGGAACAGTTCGTGAGATGTAAAATTTTGAATCTATTTAAAAAGAAAAGTTATTTTTTATCTTTATTCTATTTATTCTTTTCTAACACATGTTTCCTAACCGTTTTCGTCTTATATCGTATACTCTTTTCTTCCTACCCCAGTATATTCTATAAAGTACTTAGAATTAGTTAACATTATTAAAAGGACTGGACACTATTTATGCTAAATAAACTTTGTTAGTAGTCTTGCAACAACTTTATTATTTGTAAATGAATTACTTACATTTTCATTGTCATCATTGTTAACTGAAGTAAAATTGAAGTCATCAGTGTTACTCTGTATCTGACTATTTATTGCTGTTTTGTTAGCTTGTACAGTTTTTTTCTCGACGTCTGATTTATTGGATCGAGTTTCTGTAGTTATTTGAGGTCGGATTCTTGTGTTGAGATTCTTGAAAGTGATTTTTGGTTTAGTGGTTGTGGTTTTAAGTGACTTGAATTCCACAACGCCTGGATCAAATTCATCGCTCTGTGATGTTTCTTCGATGAATGAACGTCTGAGTAACTTTGTTTGTGATAGTGTCAATGGCAGTTTTACGTCTCTCTGTTCTTTTCCTGATCTGACTGCCCGTCGGATCATATTAGCCATGTCTAACAGTATCGGAAGCATTAGTTCAGAGGAGGAATTGTTTTCGTTACCGAACATAGATCTCACCTGGAACGGAAGAACATTTAGATTAAATTATATATCTTTGCTGTGTAGTGGCAGTTAAGAATATCCACTACCCCGTATCTTCCCGTGGGTGTCGTAACAGGCGACAGTGGGAAATTGGCAGGAGATGGGCAGCAGCATCTTCCTGATAACAGCCATATCATAATAAAAAAAACTGCGGTTGCCAACCCGCTCGCCAAGCGGGGCAACTATGGCAATATACCCCCTCAATCAATAAAATTACGAAAAGATGGCCCCCAGTCCCTGGCGGCCCCCCTATTCCTGGCTACATTGGCGACCATGATAGCGGCGGGGCAGGAGGTGCTAAGAATCTGCGGTGGAGTTTCGGTTGCCATCTAAGACGACTCGACCTGGCAACATACAACGCATGCACCCTGAGGACCGACGAGAAGATCCTGAAGCTGGAAGAAGAGATAGACAAGTTGCGCTGGAATATTATAGGATTATCCGAGGTCCGAAGAGAGGGGGAGGACACGGTAATCCTCGAATCCGGCAACTTGCTCAATCACCGGGAGGGCGACCATCTCTCCCAAGGAGGTGTCGGATTTATCGTCCACAAGTCTCTCGCTAACAAAGTTGTAAAGATTGGGAGTGTGTCGACGAGGGTTGCGTACCTTATACTCAGAATCACCAAACGGTATTCGCCGAAGGTCATACAGGTTTACGCACCAACCTCGGCACACCCCGATGAGGAGGTGGAGGAAATGTATGAGGAAATCTCTAGAGCCATGCATTCCTCCAAAACCCACTATACGGTGTTAATGGGAGACTTCAATGCAAAGCTAGGCACAAGGGGGAACGGTTAGCTAAAAATAGGGAAATTCGGAATAGGGCAACGGAAGCCAAGGGGCCAGCAGCTGGCCGACTTCATGGAGAAAGATGGACTCTTTATGATGAACTCTTTCTTCCAGAAGCGGCCCCACAGGAAGTGGATCTGGTCGAGCCCCGTCGGTTCATCAAAAAATGAGATTGACTTCATTATGACGACCAGACCACAACCGTTCAGTGATGTCTCAGTTATCGCGAGGGTGAAAACTGGTAGCGATCACCGAATGGTTAGAGGCACACTGAACCTCAACGTTAAGTTGAAGAGGTCACGTCTAATAAAGTCAACGCTCCGCCCCCCTCGTGCTCTAGTCCAAAGTCCCGAAACCTTTCAGCTCGAGTTACAAAAACGTTTTCGGTGCCTAGAAGACCTCAATGAAGTGGACGATATAAATGATAAGCTAAGATATATATCTTTCAATATTTCTCTCATCTCATCTCATTACAGCCCTTCACAAGTCCACTGCTGAACATAGGCATCCCCCAAGGAATGCCACAAAGCACGATCCTGAGCCAGCATCCATCGACTTCCTGCATGTCTTACCAGGTCGTCACTCCATCTATTGGGGGGGTCGCCCTACACTTCGCCTACTGGTACGAGGTTGCCACTCGAGAACCTTTTTTCCCCATCGGTTGTCGGTTCTTCGATCCTTCAATATTTATACAAACTGTTTATTTAAAAGCTTTTAGAAAAATTTACTTCGCAAATATCCGCGTTATAAAATAAAATGATGTCAATAAAATGATGCCTCTACACGAGGCATCCTCAGGCAAATCACGTGTCGTATTATCGTCAGTGGTGTGTCTTGCCTAGTGTAGTGGTGTTGGGAGTAGCGGTGCTGGGATTAGTGGTGACGAGGATAGTGCACGCAATTGAGGGAGGGCGGGAGGTGCTCTTCATACCAGGTAAGACATATAATTTTATTTCATAACGCGGATATTTGCGAAGTAAGTTTTTCTAAAAGCTTTTATATAATGGATTTCCGCAAAGTAACGCCTGATTCTATTAATTAAACTGTTTATTATTAATTTACATTTATTATTATTAACTAGCTCATACCTGCCGCAAGAGAAATAATTGTGGAAATATCTATCATTTTGAAGAGTTATATTGTTTAATTAAGGAATGATAATAATACATGCATTGAAATTGAATGATTTATAACTTTCAAATAAATTTGTCAGTGAGATATGCGTACCATCTACGTAAGTTATTTGTAATATATCTATAACCTTCGCGCAAGTCCAAGCAATAAGTTAAAAAAGTTTCACCGCAATCTGATGAACGATATAAAATACATGTATGTATGTATACGCATAAAATACAAACAAACAAAAATATTAATGTTTATACAGGGTTATTATGCAATAACCGGTCAAATTTGCAGAGAAGGTTCAGAATAAGTCATACGGAAGAAAAATTAATTATAAAAATTTCAAACATTCTGTCTTTTTTATCTTTTAAATTCAAAATGCGTGGTAATCCATTATTTTAAATGATTTTACAGCGCACGCAAATATTGGTAAGGGTCGATCGGTAGCAAAAACTTTGTTGCTCATAAATCACATTCAATTTGGGATAATTTCAAATAAAAGTAGAAGCCTTATTTATTCGTATTTTTAAAAACTGCAATTACAGTTTTTTTTAAGTTGGCTTCTGTTTGAAAAATAACCCTGTATATTAGATTTAATGACGTATTCATAATTTTTACAGTTTTAATACAATGGAAGACCGCAAAAAATTGCCCTCTTGAATAAAGATTCCTTCAAGGTGGTTGAGCCACGCTGCTTCTACATATACATGCACGCATGGGTCAGCCCAATCGAGGAAGAACCACGTTCTTACATATCAGCGTAAAATAGCAGCATGAGGCTTCTGTTTTAGGATGGTGAGTGTAAAGAACCGGTGGTGAGTGTAAGGAACACTTTCTTACAGGTAAAGAGGCATTAGAAGGTAGACCTTAGCCTTCTGGGGTGACAACGCCTAGCAAGTGCAGCACTGACATGATTTAGACTGTTTGTCCGTTTGTGACGATTACTCTTATGAAAAATTATATGAACAGCAGTGGTCCTAAAAATAAAAAAAATAAAAAATATTAATGTAAATACAGAGGCGCTCACTTGAACCTCTTTATATTAAGTCGTATATGATGTACCACATGATATTTTAATGAAGGCTTGTGTGCAGGGCCAGAGGTGCAAAAACGTTTATGCTGTCATTACCTTTACAGCCTATTATAAAGTCCACTGCTGAAAATAGATCTCCACTATAGATTGCCTCATACGGGGGATGTTTTCCATAGTTAACATGCTTGGCAAGCGAGCTGGCAACCGCAGTTTTTAATTTTTATTCGTTATTTGGAAGATGCTGCTGCCCATCTCCTGATTTGTTTCCCTCTGTCGCCTCTTACGACACTCACGGCATGACTTGGTTCTTCCTCGATTGGCTGACCCATGCGTGCTGCAATTATATATAGAAGCAGCGTGGCTCAACCACGTTGAAGAAATCTTTATTCAAGAAGGCAATAATCTGCGGTCTTCGATTATATTAAAACTAAAAATAAATTTATCAAAGTTATGAATACGTCAATAAATCAAATTATATTATATAATTATATTTTTTTTTATAGGATAAGGGTGACAAACGAGCACACAGTCCACCTGATGGTAAGTGGTTGCTGCGGCCCATAGACATCTACATCTAAAAATGTAGATGCATTGTCACCCGTGAGGACTAAGATGGAATGCCTCATTTCCAGTAAAAAAGGCCTCCCTCACCAAGCGAAACGCAGAAATAAACCTCTACTTCACGCTGGTTTTCTGTGAGGTCGTGGTACCACCCCGGTTCGAGCCGGCCCATCCGTGTGACAGCAAAAGCTGCCGCGTGGCTCTACCACTGTTATAAATTATATTATTTATTAATTATATTATATAAAATAATACAGAGTTAATTTTCAAACAGACCCCAAATAAAGAATATATATACTGTTATTGCAGTTTTTGAAAATACGAGTAATATTAATACACTACACGGTTCAACTGCGTTAATATCTAATTATACAAATAAAACAATAAAACTGAAAAATACATACATAAAGAAGAATAATAATAACATTCAAATATTGAATAGTTTAAGACCGTTTCATTCACAACAATCATTATCTAACATCGAGTTTACGTGAACAGCTTAGAAATAACAATACAATCACGACATTTAAAGTAATAAAATCACCAAGAGACATTAAAAGTGTGTAGTTTCAAGACCATGAGAAAATGCAGTCAACGTTGGATAAAGTAGATTATTGCTATGTTTATTATTCTGGTTTTCTGAGGTCAAAGATCTAAGATTAGGTCTAGTTCGTGTCAAGTCCGAATTTGCAACCTTGCTTTGTCAAATGCTACATGTTAGACCAGAGAAAGTGCTTAATGTTATTTTTTATAGAATAAGGATTACAAACACAGAACACAGTCCACTTGATGGTAATTGGATGTGGTATTGTAGCTCATTTTTTTATAGGATAGGGTGACAAACGAGCACACAGTCCACCTGATGGTAAGTGGTTGCTGTGACCCATAGACATCTACATTTATCCTCAATATAGAATCAAAGTGCAGATGCGTCGTCACTCGTGAGTGTGACAACGCATCTGCACAAGATGGAATGCCTCTTTTCCAGTAAAATGGGTCTCCGCTTCTCTACACTCACCATACGCAACACAGCAGTGTCGAGCTGCCATTTTACGCTGGTATTCTGTGAGAGCGTGGTCCTTCCCCGGTCGAGCCGACCCATTCGTGCTACAACTATACTATTAATATAGCTAGAGCATGGCTCTACCACGTATAAAGACATATATCCCCTATTAAAAACCAAAATGTAGATGCATTGTCTCCCATGAAAAATAGGATGAAGGCAATTTCCAGTAAAAAAGTGTCTTCGGTTCTTTAGGTACACTCATCATACGAAACACAACAGCATTAAGCTGCTATTTCACACTGATATTGTTCGCGAAACTGAACCATTTTAAATTGTGAATATAAGTATACAATTTGTTTATTACTTGCCAACAGCCATTGGATATCTACTGGACTAAATAAATATATTGTATGAATATAACCTTAACCGGTCAAGTCGTTTAGATGTAAAACCGCAATTGATT